AGATCCTTGATTTTTGATTGGTTATTGATTGGCTATATTGTGGCAAAATTTAAAATTCTTAACGGCTTATCGTGGTACGTAGCAGTTACCATTCAAATCTAAAAAATATTAATAAAAAAAAAAATTATATTTTTCTAAAATTTACATAGATTTTTTTACTGAATAATACGTATAATTAATAAATTTTCTGATAGAATTAAAATAAAAATTTTCATCAAACTTAGTTATATTTTTTTTTTAAAAAAAAAATTCAAAATAATAATAATAATAATAATAATAATTTTTTCAATTATCTTATTCTTGGCCGACTATTCTGAGTTGATAATATATAAAATTTTTATTTTTTTTTTGAACTTTATATTCTCGAAAATTAAACCCGAGTATATCTGTATATTCAAAGAATGCATATGTTATTATTGGAGTAAGACCGACCGATTCACATTCAATAGTGAAAATTTCTAATTACGTATATCCTTAATCTAGACATACACAATATACGCCATTACCGAGGTTCTCCAAAAATAAGTACAGTCAGACCTCTCTAAGTACACCCTCTATAAGTGCACGCCCTCTCTAAATGCACGCTCAAGTGTTGGCCCAAATGTATACTTGACCTCTATAAATGCATTTTTTCTTATTATTCTCTATATGCACGTTATTGAAGCGTGGTCCCAAGGGCGTGCACTTAGAGAGGTCTGACTGTATTCTCTATATGCACGTTATTGAAGCGTGGTCCCAAGGGCGTGCACTTAGAGAGGTCTGACTGTATTTCCATTTTACGATAGTAAGTCTATAGCAAAAAAAAGTGTGCTTACTTTTGGAACCTCACGGTATTTTAAATGAATTCAAGTGTCTTTAAATTCATTTTTATTTGATAATGTAATTAAATTTTTCAATGGATTCTAAGTGTAATATTAAAGATACAAATATATATTAAATAAGGATTGACAATATCTTATAACTCATAAGCCGTGTTATGAAAAAAAAAAGTCCAATAATTTAAAGATGTTATGTAAATACTATTATGCTGAAGGATATACACTGCTAGCATTACGACTGTGTGAATAAATTACATCTAATTGCAATTCAGAAAAAACTTTCGAAATAGGTCTGTCTCGATTTTTTCTTAATCCAGATCTTAATTCTCGAATTGTATTATCAAAATCTTGCCCTGCTAATAATGAAGCTATACTTGAAGTATCTGATGGTCGTCTTATCGCCTATTATACAATTGTATAAATTGGGAGTGAACAAAAGAAATGTTTCAAATTGCAATGTAAATAATTTGACATTACCAAACGTGATTGAGCATTAATTTCTTTTAAGTGTTCTTTTTCTATTCTCTTCTTTTCTTCTTCATTTTCCCGTCTTACTCTCTAAATACAAGACGGTGATTGTATAAATATTTTGACGTCTCCAGCATTTACATTTTAAGGTAATGTCTTAAATACTTACCTCCAAAGATTTTCCGAATTCAACAATCATGCCGAAAAATTCTTCAGGTTTAGTAACGGTAGGATCTTCTCCATAGTATTTTAGTAATTGGTTTAGTCTTTCTTCTAATTCTTGCGTAAATTCTTTTATGCTCTCGATGGTTGGTTCAATTTGTTTAATGAATTCCTACAATAGATACGACAAAAAACGAACCCAGGTTAATCTCTATACTTATAAAAATGTATAAATAATTGTAAAAACAAACCTCCATAACTTCACAAAAACGATCACTACTCGGTGTCAATCTTATCTTCTTCAAGATCCTAATTTCTTCTTTGATTAGGTCAGCTCCACTCCCCAAAGATGCAACGGTCCCTATAACTGCAACATATGAAACCTTTGATGCCCCCTCCAAATGTTTTAACTCATCCATAAATGTTATCAAATCATTCTGTTTTTCTTCAAGTGTCGCAGCTAAATAATGAAGTAATGTTGAAAGCCCTTTAGGATTATTTTCTAAAGCTTTTGTTTCGCTTATCTATTAAGTAAAAATTTGAAACATTAATTATAAAATCATAAATGCAGCCACATACGAATAAAATAATTCACCTTTAAAAGACAATCCAACCGAAATCCGATCGCATTTCCTCGGAATGTGGAACCATTAAGATAATTTCCAATTGCCAATATGGTCTATCAGTACAAAAGAATATATATTAATAAATACAACAATATGATATAAGTAAAAACAACCATTACATACTTTCAGCAAATATTTAAACTTCATTGATGATTTTAATTCCACATAAGCTTGATGTAAATCTTCAACTTGCTGTAAAATAAAATATTTCGTTAAATATATTATCATTTAAAATAATTTATATGGGGTCTTTGCCTTGAAAATCACGTTATGGGCATATTAAATCATATGTCCCATAACGTGATTTTCAAGGCAAAGAC